TTGACGTGAAATGGAATTTTAAATATCAATTCGAAAATATTTCGCTTCTATCTATCCTGTGTGAAAAGGAACAAGCGAGCAGCCTTAACTATAGAATTTCGAATAAACGCCGCGCCGAACTTTGAGATATAATTCTCCAACTTTAACGATTTGACCTTCCGACGGTAATCGAGAGTCGTCGCTGCCAGTTTACACGTGCCCTACTTAGGAGTCTGAAAGTCTTCGCCTAGAAGTTAGTAGTCTTCGTCCTAATCGATTATGCGATGTCTGTAAACCCTTTTCTCACGCTAAACCCCCAGTCACGGTCGCGGTAAGCTGCTATAAATTATATTTTGATACTAGGGTACACACACAGGCCGGAGTTTCTATTGACCTTGCGCCATCCCCTTCTAAACACCGGATGAGGGGTGCAAGGTGGATTTCGTATAACGCAATAAAATCAACTATGCTAACAGACTACATAGTGGCAGTACATGTGGTTATTATCTACTTTACTCGTCGCATTGCCATTAAACTATGAGGGGAATAACATTAAGCGGCCGATTCTAGAGTGACGGTAATGGGTGGTCTCGACAAGGCTGTACAGTATTTATCGCGTTCGGTCGGTTCATACGAGGGCCGGCGCCAACGCGGCAGATTGTGATATGCATACGGACACAGCCGCACGTTTGGTGGCAGCGGGCCGTTTAATTTGGCCGGGTGATATTAATTTTGGGGTAGTGATTTCGCCGCTATTCGGGCGAGACCAACCCCCACCAATGTTGATGAACGTTGATTATAACGTGGACATCTCTTTTGTTAAATATTTAAGTTCATTTGGCTTAATTTTTGGTAGGTTCAGTGAAGCTTCGTTAGTGAATTCAACTGTGAAAAACGTTCTTCAATAGCTCTCTTTTCATAACTATTAAAACATTCTGAAGTATTATTTTATTTAAGTACTTGTTTACCTAATAAATTTAATAAATATTCCTACTTTTTACTGAAATTATGTAGAGCTTTTCCTTTGGTATCGTTTACGTTAAATACGAAGCCATTTTGAATTTAACTGAACACCATCGTGTTAACGCTTTGTAATTTTTCAAGTAATTAACCATCCCAGCGTTCAATCAAATTTAATACTACAACGTCAATCCCAGTTAGCGGGGTGAAACACCGTTCCTTCAAAAGTTTCTTCCTAAGGCGGGGGCGGCTTGCGTAAACGGCTGTACAAATGAAACCTTTAAAACTATGAACTCCGCTTTGTAAGCCTCCAATTTGTTTACCACGTGATTTCATTATTAATACGACGATTAATCGGTCGCACGTTTGAACGAACCCATTTTGAGCTCAACAAGTCTATTTTAACTTTCCATAAGGATAATATTACGTGATAAACTCTTGAGCAAATTACAGTATCCTCCTCAGTTTCGCTGCCAAATATACGCGTAATATTTGTTTTGTTTGTGGAAAGTACTTGCAAACGTTTATACAGTGTGAGTCACGTTAAAGTGTACATATGAAAATAAATGAAACTAGACCTATTTTTATCGACAAAAAAGAGGTCAAAAATTTTTTGAGTTTTTTTTTTAATTTTTTATAGAATTTTTTTTCTTTCAATTACTTATTGTAAAGAAAACGTAATAACTTTTAAACTAAGCGGTACATCCTGATAAAATAAAAACAGTAATAATGCTAAATAACAGGCGATACTAAAAAAATACATAAAATACACAAAAAATGCCAACAAATAATAAAAAATGATACTTTTTGAAAAAAATCTGCTTTTAAATTCGTGTTTTTTTGGTTATTTGATAAATTTCTCCAAAAAATGCCCCTATAACAGGTGGTTTTTATTACTTTGTATTATTCTCTATCGTATTACCTTTGTATAACAAAAAATCGCATGTCTCTATCCCTATCACAACGTTTGCAATGATCGTTTGAACTAAGCCTCTCCGGGCGCGCCATTCAACGCTTCGTTAAGAACGAAACTGAAAATGGCTCTAGATTTGTAATTTTGATAAGGACAAGTTAGATTTCAAATAAAAACAAAAGATTTCAACGTAAAATAAGCATTTAAGTTAACATTAAAATTGTCTCTACCTGTAGCGGAGAAAAATGTTGTTGCAGGCCTTTGTTCAAACGATCATAGCAAATGTTGTGATAGGGATAGAGATATGCGATTTTTGGTTTTACAATGATAATACGATAGAGAATAATACAAAGTAATAAAAACCACCTGTTATAGGGGCATTTTTTGGAGAAATTTATCAAATAACCAAAAAAACACGAATTTAAAAGCAGATTTTTTTCAAAAAGTATCATTTTTTATTATTTGTTGGCATTTTTTGTGTATTTTATGTATTTTTTTAGTATCGCCTGTTATTTAGCATTATTACTGTTTTTATTTTATCGGGATGTACCGCTTAGTTTAAAAGTTATTACGTTTTCTTTACAATAAGTAATTGGAAGAAAAAAAATACTATAAAAAATTAAAAAAAAATCTCAAAAATTTTTTGACCTCTTTTTTGTCGATAAAAATAGGTCTAGTTTAATCTATTTTCATATGTACACTTTAACGTGACTCACACTGTATTGTCCTTATAATTGGTCGGACGGTCATTAAGACATTAAAGGAGGAATGAAAAAACTTCGGGAATGGCCTATAATTGTGGAATACCCGCTCGCACCGGCTCGTCAATCTTTTGTCCTTACCGTAGACTCTTGGTCGGTGTTTTGTACTGACCCAGATACGCCGTCGTCAGCAAAAAACCCGCCTTTTTTAATGCCAGCCAGCGCCATGTTTGCGATATATTTCGTGTCGTGACACCGTCCTGAATTTTATTTAGGTTTCACGACAGAATATTTTGTCGGTATGAATAAATCAACATTAGATTTAGAACATAGAGCTCTGTCCTATGCGAAACGTAGGTACATTTTCAATTTGCAGACAAGTTGTTGATACTTTGAGACACTTTGCCCTTTAAAAGTTAATAAACGACTTACAAAGATGACTGATGTAGAATCACGATCCACTCGACCAAACAATTTGCTTCTAGACTGTTTAAGTTAAAACAAAAATGGTTTTACTTAAAAATGTCTAAAGGGCGCTCCGACGACCTTCATATCACCTTTTGATCGATGTCCTCAAGGCGCACACTCGATCGTAAATCAATTATGAACTCGAATATTTGAATGGACATCTTTCAGCATTAAAAAGTTCGCGCAAACTCTAAAGTTTATCATTCTGAAGAGAAAATGAGGCGCTTGCGTTTTCGGAATTAGGTGTATTATGATTTATGAACTGCACGCTTAACTTTTTAACTTATTACAGAGGGTCTTGGTGACACAGTAACTTTTTATATACCAATCATTTTGATTAAAACTTTCGAGCAATAATCAGATTTGGGTGCTTGGTGTCATTGTTGCACCTATTGTTTAAATTAATGGTGATTAGAAAATAAGCTCTTGTTTAGTATTGAATCCCATCTATGGGCTCTTAATGCTCAATCATCCTAACAATAGTAATTTAGAAGACATCAATGTTCGTAAAAGACAAATCCTTCTAGTGCTTCTGGTATAACAGCGCCTCCTTGAACCAACTCCATCTCTATCCCATAAGTCTACGTAACTAACGTAGTCTCTTTGTCCAATCGAAATATTAGACATCCCATATCGCCACTTCAGGGGAACATCTATTGACATGCCAGCTCGGATCAAGCTCAGGCAACGGAATAAAACATATGCAGCCGGAATGTTCTACGGAAATAGACGGTGTCGGCACCGCGCATCCGCGCTGCTGCGACCAGATAACGGGACATCTTGGGATCAGGATGGGAAATAATGGGATGTATCATCGGATGGGTCGTGTGGTTTAGGAATATTTTGATGTTCAATGGAAAACTATGGCTATACAAGCATGGCGAAGTTGGAAATGAAATCGTGATCTTTGGAAAAGCTCTACCGGAATGTCTTTGAAATTCTACGAGGTTTTGTTCTTATTATTCTCAGTTAAAATTAAGGTGTGTTGATATAAACAGTTTCGTCATCATAACATCATGAGACCATTTAGTTTCAACTGCAGCAGCACTTGATTAAAGATTTGACTTACACTCTCCATGTTGACCAGACGGTGGGGTTAATATCGAATACGTTAATTAATTTTGTTTTTAAATTAAATATCCTAAGTCCAAATCATGGGCACCCTCGTTGCCTAGTAATCGGCATGCGCCGATACCGCGTTTGTCTGCGCCTACGACGATCCTTCATGAGCGGTATTAATAGCGTCCTTGCTCGCTGGAGATTTACTGGAGATGCTAAGATGGATGCTCTGGCTTGTGGTATTCTAAGAATTAAAAAAACAAGTTTTTTTACAGTTGACAACACAAAATTGTAAAAAAGACGTGTTTCGAAATTTTTGGCGACTTTAGATATTAAGAACTATTGATTGACATTGACAACGCGGCTGACTGTACCATATAAAACTACAAAATAAATCAAATAGGAAAAAACTCTTCGTTGCTTCATTTAATTAGTATGTAACTTGAAAGTATCAATTTGCGAAGTCAGAGAAGTAAACAAAAGAAAGTCCATTGTTACATCAATTTCCAATTGCTCCACGTACGGCCATCAAACGCTGTGACTCGGCGAAACGACATATCAATTATGCGTTCGCATTAATTAGCGAGATTAATTGTCCGTATCCTTAGTATTCTAACGGCGGTGCATAGTGCAGTGCCGAGCGCGGTCAGTCCTCCCGCGCCCGCCGCCGCCGCCTGCCGCCGCCGGCCCGCCGGTCCGACCCACGTGCGCTCCAAAACAAATAACGCCGCGCAACGCGAACCTTGACTTTGCCGCAAGTCACAACACTAACGTTTTCCAATCGGAAAAATCTGTGCGACTAATAAACGCTAACAAACATAACGCTGCTAATTTCACAGCTGTAAAATAAGATATGTACATACACATACATGTTGAGTGTTTACAAACGTTGACTCACAAACATTGACTTTGAAAACATTCATTGACCAGAAATCGGTGTGATACGTTTCAGTGAAAATTCCAATCGGTCAACCGTGAGAATTAGTAATCAAAGGCCCTGGAGACCGGCCGTCTCGCGAGTCGAAATCGATGAAATGCAAACATGTTGATGTGCGAATATCAAACCCCTATCCAACCCCCCTAGCCGAGCAATAATAGCGGCGGGGGACGTGCACCCGCTCACGTACACCATGCATGCACTAACCCGACTGCGATTGGGATATTCTGTAAACATTCAGATGTCTCTACAAACAGAAAAGAATCAAATATTTATAACAGCAAACACCATGACTTTTATTGTTATGGGTGACTGAATCGCACTGAACATCATTTGATTCATTTGAAAATCAATACGATCTTCATGTACCCTTTATTAGTCACTTTGCACTTACGCAAGTTTATTTTTATGAGCACGTGCATGTTGATGTATTCAACAGAAAAATATTACGTCACGAACAATGGGATTCGAGAATAAGCCCGCGAACAAAGTTGAGCGATGGGTCGGCCGAGCGATCGAGTGACTTGTAAGTGAATAGAGGAGGGGAAGTTGGGGCTCCTTTGTCACCACCTGTCCGCGGTAAGCGGTAATAGCTATCGGAAGACGCAGTCGCAACCAGAGCCCGACTCGAGCGCATCTGTCTTTAGTTCGCGCCAAATGTGAACATGTGCGGTGCGCACGATACTAAAACACCTTTTATGGACCAAATGACTTAGTGCCAAATGGGAATGAAGTGAGTTTTGTGTGCAAGTGCTGTGTTGTGAATAGTGAAAATGTTGGGATTGCTCACTTCGGATTTCGGCTATCAGAACCGATTGACTCTACTCCAGCAGTTGATCGAATGCGGAGATGTATTATTGGGGAATGAACTTGTATGTGGTACGTATCTTCAAATGAAAACTCGTAATGTAGAGTTATTTACATTCAAATTGGACTCCACTCAAGTCCCAGACGTTCAACGAATACAAAAAACAAAACAAACGTTTAGCAAACGATTCAATTGCGAAGCTAAACAAACAATCAGCTTTAATAGTGTCGTTTCTTTCCACAGCGCACACTCTAAAACAATAACTGCTTATTTTTCTACTCGAGTTAACGGTTATGAGTTGGCCCTTCACTGTAATGGTTCGTCCACACCAAAACCTATTGTGTGTAATAAGCGCGCAACATCGAGCATTCCACCGATGTTTCTGTTGAGCGCGTAACAAATTCGATATCTATCAACTTTTAAACTTGAATTGGAATTTAAATAAATTCGAGATGATTCGATCATTTTTAACTTGTTGCATTTTCATTCTTATACGAGTTTCTCAAACAAATAATTTGATAATTAGGTAATATTAATACCTTATTGATCTCGAAATTTTGATCCACTTGGATGAATCATGATTGTTGTGTACATACCTACGTGGTTTCATAACATTCGTTGTTCTTGACGAATCATAACTGACAGAAGTACAAAGTGGGCACGCACCTTAACTATAAAATGAACTTGTTAATTTAAAACAAGGTGCGTACACCGAGTAGGTACATAAACTAGTAATTTCTTTTAACTGCTCAATAAAGTTCAAAGCTGCACTTTGTGCGTGCCGACACGTCGCGTTGACAACATTTATCATTCTATAACCCAATAATTAAGAATTTTTCTACTACAATTATGTTGACGATACATTTATGTGTGTAGAGTTTTTGTATATGAATTAGAATTTATGGTGTAAACAATACCCAGTAGAGTGACTAACGTGATGATGTGTTCGATCTGAAATATCTGTACACAAATGGTTGCAATTAATGCCAATGATTTATGAATGTTAATAAAATAATCCAATATCTTCTAATGTCCTATAATCTCGTTTAAACAGGCTGTTTAGATGGTAACTGTTATGTATTCATTACCGGCCCTCACTGCGCGATATTAATGTGTTATGCAAGATGGCTCCAAGCTGCGCGAATAATTGAATATTATAATTTATCGCAAACACGGATTTAATACTAAATAATTTTGCACTTATCTCGTGATGTCTATTTCAAGGCGACAATAAACATACAATGCTGTTACATTAAATTGTTGGAGGTGCTGGCAGCCATTGCGAAGAAATATGCTTTATTTGTTTACTTTGTTTAGCGCTTAGCTAACTCAGTGGCTAAGTTATGGGAGCGGCATGGAAGGGTGTTTTCGAGATGTCAAACGTCAGCAAATCTTCAGATCTCTCACAGATTTGTATAGATGACCCACGCTGAACTGTCCCACCAAACTCAATGACAAGGGGGCGCTACCATCGTTCAACTATATGGTTTCCAACATGGCAAAAATCGGAACTAGCGATCCGGTATTGACGGTGGCGCCCCACTGTCAATGTCATGCATAGGACAGTTCAGTATTTTGGAACTATATGCTATGACACGTCATAATATGTATACAGGGTGTTTCTTGTAAGGTGTCAAGCCGAAGGCAGGTGATAGGTGAGGACTAGACCTATCGATTTCACCCCCATGTATGTTCTACGATTTTTCGTAGTTTAGAAGTTATCGTTAATTTTGATCTCAAATTATTTTGGACCTATGGAAATTCTTTTTTTTTCTCATACATTTCAATTGAAAATTTTAGAATGTTCTGCTAAAAGCATATTTTTTATGTTTCTAGCAAAAATTTTGTATCTTGCATCAAAGATAGGAAGATGATTATTTTTTTCAAATATCTGCAACTAATAGGGAATCTGTCAAAAAAAAAGAAATCTGAGAAAAGTCAACCCAATAAAAAGATAAAAAAAAATTAAGCCACTGGGTCATGAAATTTGAAAAAATCACAAAATTAACGATAACTTCTAAACTAAGAAAAATCGTAAAACATACATGGGGGTGAAATCGATAGGTCTAGTCCTCACCTATCACCTGCCTTCGGCTTGACACCTTACAAGAAACACCCTGTATACCCCAGGCACTGACTTGAGTTAAGCACTCGACTTATAATATTAGGTACCCATCAATATCTTTTTTCTCTATCACGTGGACTAACGACTGTCAAAGTTTACGAGCTATATCCGCCAGACATGACTCGATTGTTTGTCGACATCAAACATTATTTTTACATAAATGTAAAAGTGCTTGTAAAGATATTCTTAACACTTTCACCACAAACATATTTATGATGTTGACTCTACCAGCGTTATCTTTCTTATCAGGAAACTGGACCCTAACTACTTGTATGTTGAGAATCACATATTCTTTATCGCTTAGCGTGCATCATATGTTTGTAAAGCTATATTTCTCGATAATAATCCTTAGAATAACCTGTTCTGAAGAAAAAACCAAGTAAATGGTATAACTGACCAATAACACAAAATAAACTGTTGCATCAAATTCCCAACGTGTTTATCATCATAAAACTGCGCGCGAGTTGATGTACCCACGGTGTATGAAGTGTGAACGTTACAATGCAATTATCGCTCCTATCTCGTACATAATAAAGGTGTTCGTAAAGATTGTTTTTAAAAGGTTGCTGTGTGTACTCGTAGTGGAAATGCCGTGACGTAGCGGCGCGGAAAACCGGCCTTTATTCTGTTACGTAATCTCGTAACTGATTTTAATTTTCACGTGGTTTTAGTAAACGATTATAATCTGACATTGTAATGTTTTCATAAAGTTCAATTATTAGTCGCTCTACTTAAGTTAGGTACTTTACAAATAAACACACCTTTTTTCGATTATATTGCTTCGGGTTAACAATTTGTGATTGCAGTGCTGAGAATAAACTCAATCAAATTAATTTATTCCTTCCAATGTGAATCTGCTGAATATCTTGAAATGAAAAGTAAAATTAAAGTCATTGACAGAACATTCATTACAGACAAAAAATAAAGAGTGCTCTCTTTACTGGTGTAACAACAACAAGTATTTTAAATAAGAATGTCTCTCTCCGATTTTTAATCCCATTAAATTTAATCACACCGCCCCATCTGGAATCGCTACCACTCGGCCCGCGTATCAGCGCACGCGCCGATGCGCCGATAGTCGGTGCGCACAATTCACGTCGCATTGTGTCGCCGGCGCATCATAAAACACCGCTAATACATGCGCGGGCGCCTCATTAGATTGCCTTTCGTGGAGATCTAGTTATACTTGTTTTACTAAAAGATGACCGAGTTTTTGCACTGCTTCTTTTCAGTATTGGCCAATTTAAAGCAGTGGTAGGGTTAAAGCAATGCTGGGACATGTAAAAGAGCTTTTTAAAAGCCTAATTGGAGATCGATCAAGTTGGTCAATTAATTGGAATGGGCTGATCAGTTGTTGAAATAACTTGAGTAATGCTCGTCATCATATCATCAGGTGAATTCTCCATTGCAAGAGCACAACTGTCTATTACTTTACCAGAGACAAATGGAAAACATGGATGTCTAAGTGCTTAGATTATTATAAAAGGACATTAGGTAGACAGCAAATTGAAGAAAAGAAATAAGTGAATATGTCCTCATATTGACAAGAACATTCTCAGTCAAAACATATAACATTACCACAATAATGTCAAGCCAAAGTCAACTAATAAGTCTTTGTTCATCCATTGTACCTATACTCGAATACACGAGTAGTTGCCTGGCCGGCTACACTACAGCATCCGATCGTAAATTACTGCGCCATTTGTTTAGGACCATTACCTACATATTGCCATTGTTTAGTTATTACACTGATTGTGAGGTTCTGTTTTGTTTACGTTTATAAGCTGCCATGTCGACAGTTTCACAAATAATTTGAATAAAATATGGTAACGATTAACAGAAGGAGTAGCCTTAATGAGAAGTAACCCTAATCAGAAGTAGCCAAAATGTGAAGTAGTCCATTAGCGAGTCGGTTGCCATAGTGAGAATTTGCCCTAAGGGCCCTCGCCCATGGCGACTTTTTGTAGCGATGCAGTCGGGATGCTGTAGCGAGTTTGTAGCGCGTTGGCATCACTTCTGTAGTGCGTTGCAAATGCGACTAACGCGCGTTAATAGCGAAACGCGCGACAAAAAGACGCCGTGGGCGAGGGCCCTAATGCGCCTAAAGGAAGTAAATTATTCTTAAAACACAAGAGAAAATAGCAAAAACGTGTCAATAGTAACTCTGTTTGACTCCGCTTTCTAATTGCGTACGGTAACAAAAAAAAGGTCGGAATGTTACCGGTAAATCTTTAACCCTTTGCGCAATATAAATTGTAAGCTTTGGGCGTGCTTGTGTAACTTTATAACCAAAACAAAGAGCCGAGAGTTGGCAACGAAGGTTGCTAATATACAGACAACGGCAATATAAAGGGACACTGGGCTCTTATGTGGTCTTAATAGATACTATTTTGGAACAGTAATGTGATGTCTCTGAACTGTACGAAGTACAGCACAGTGGTTCTACTAAAAATATTTGCTACCTGTTAAGTTTCGGTTCTAGCTTTGTTCGCGGCTTTGGTTTGAGAAATTGTCAAGGAGTACTTAGGATTATAGAGTCAGAAACAGTGTTTAGAGGCTATTATGATGCTATATCTAGAAAACATTTTTTTGGTAAAACACAATCAATTTGTAAGAATCTGTATATTTACCTAACTTCTAAGAATTTAGTAAAAATAAACTACATTTTACTACTCTACGCTTTTGATGCCAGTTATGATAGCAGTTCAATTTTATATTTAGCATGCTATTTTAAAGATCTAAGAATTCGAATGAACTATACTACGCCAAAATATTTATACCGGCTCGTAGCTATTTTCGTAGCAATCGTACTACGACATAAATAGATATTATGTTTGTTATTGAATATGTAAAGTCGCGTTCGATTGTTTTTAATCTCAACATTGATTTTAATTTTAACAAGTTGTAGGTCGCGGCTACAAACCGCATGTAACATATTCGGAAAAT